GGTCAACAGGAAAATAAAAATTATAAGAAAAATAAAAGTCAATGTAAATATTGGAATTGTAGGGAAATATGTCATATATGCCCTGATTGTAATAAAAAAAATTAAAATATCACGAAAAGAATATTTGAAAATATAAGATGAATTAAGTGAAATATCGGATAATGATCAATATTATAATTAAGAAATATATATAAGTAAAACAGATGAAGAATCAAAATCTAAATAAAGAAATATAGAAAATAGAAAATAATAATATAAATATCCAAGAATATGAAAGAATAGAATGTTATGGATTGAAAGTCACTTTTGGAAAATGCAAAAATTATCTTTGGATTTAAAAATAGGAAAATTAAGTTTTAGATAGAATTTGTAAAAAAGAAAGGATAGCAATAAATGAAAATCATAAAATTGAAAAAACTATAGATGTAATAATATTATGCAACCAGGTGATCAACTAATGACTATAAAATATAGTGTTTTGTTTACATTTACCAATTCTAATTATGGAAATATTTATTCCAATAAACCATATATTGAAGTACATAAAGAATGTAAGGATATTAGCAAAATAATACAACCAAATAAACAAATAAGTTTAATCCAGAAGAATATGAATTTAGTATAACAAAAAATAAATCTGAAATAACAGAATTAAATGAAGGGGAATATTCTAATGATATAATATTTAAGGATGAAAAATTAATCAAAAGATCAAAAAGTCCTAGAATACCAAATAAAAACCAATTAGAAGAATTTAGTAATATAAGAGAAATAAAACTTTACAGAAATGCTGAAAATATGAAAATAGAAGGAGAATGTTTTAATGGAAGGGAATATATAAATGGAACAAACATATTAATTGATACATGAGCTAGTGAATGTCATATAGTTTCAATCAGAAATAAAGGCTTAATAACTCATAAAACTGAATCATATAGATATGTAAATTTTGATGGACAAGTACATATTACAGATTTAGAAGTTAAAGTACTAATAAAAATAGGAGGAATAATCTTTTAGTACCATGTTATATAGATAAGAGTATGAATATAAACCCTCATATACTTTTAGGAATGAGTTTTTTGAATACATTAGAAGATTATAGTATAAAAAGAGAAGGATTATACATAGTTCATAATGGACAAAATATATTATGCAAAAAGAATAAAATGAATAATTAGATAAGTTTTCCATTAGCTGTATATATAAAAGTTACTATTGTAGAAACAAACATAACAACTTGTACTTTAATAGACACAGAATGTGATATAACAATATTTAAAAGTTTTCTGATAAAATCATGGAATAATAATAGTAATATAAAAATAACTGGAGTTATAGGAGAAAGTACCCAAATAATAAATAGTGTTGATAAAGTTAATATAATTTTTGGAAGCAAACAAGTTACAATAAATAAAGTATATATAAATATAATAAATTAGAATGCGATATATTATTAGGAAATGACTTTATACAACAATTTCAATATTATAAACAAAATAATTATATGATAATGTTACAAACACATTGCTCACACTTATTAAAAATTTCAAGAGAATTTAGACTTTATAGAATTCAGTTAGCCTAGCGTGGTGATAAATAGGAGAAAGAAACTAATTATATTTAATAAAACAAAAAACAAAAGAATATCTATAAAAAAAAGTCCTAAAAACAAGACTAGAAACGAGGATAGAAAAAATGAACAATTAGAAAAAGTTTATGGAGAAAATTCATTATTATTTTGGAAACCACATCACCCTAATGCCAAAATAGAATTAACAAAAAATGTTATAATAAGAGTTAGACCAATAATGTATATTATAGAAGATATACAAGAATTAAAAAATCAGATAAAAGAATTATTAGAACACAAACTTATTAGACCTAATAATGGACCTCCTGGTTATGAAACATTCTGGACAGGTTAGAGGAAAAACTATAATAGTTATAAATTATAAAGAAATAAATAAATTTACTAAATTTGATGGATTTTTTTTACCAAATAAAGAAGTTTTAATAAACCTTACAAAAGGAAAACAATATTATTCTAAGTTTGACTGTAAATCAGGATTTTGACAAATAAAAATAGAAGAAAATAGTGTACAATATACTGTATTTAGCACACCTTAAGGGAAATATCAATGGTTAGTAATGTTATTAGGATTAAAAAACGCACCACAAATATATCAAAGACAAATGGATAATATATTTAAAAAGTTTAATAAATTTCTAATTGTTTATATAGATGATATATTAATATGTTCTAATAGTAAAGAAAAATATAGAAATCATTTAATCCAATTTATAAATGAATGTAAACAAAAGGAATTATACTTTTTAAAAAGAAATCTATAATAAAAAAAACAAGAAATGAATTTTCTTGGATTATTAATAGATAAAAGAGGAATAAGATTGCAAACTCATATATCTAAAAAAATAAAATGTTTTTCAGATACATTAGAACCCAAAGAACAAATACAAAAGAAGAATATAAAAATTTACCAAAATTAAGATTATCAGATGAAAAAGATAATTTGATTGTTAACACTGATACCTCAGATAAATATTGGGCAGCAATATTAAAAACAAATTTAAATGAAATTTGTAGATATTTAAGTGGAACTTTTAATCAAGTAGAAATAAATTATACCACTCATAAAAATGAATTACTAATAAATATTAGAGGAATAAAAAGTTCTCATTATTCTTATTATCTAAGAAATTTACTATTGAGACTGATAATTCTCAAGTTACAGGATTAGTTATGAATAAACTACCATCAAAACCTCAATACAGAAGGCTCCATAGATGGCAAGCTTATTTAACATTTTATAACTTTGGTATAATTCATATTAAAGGTGTAAAAAATTTTCTTGCAGATTTTCTAGAAGAAATATAGAATTTGCTGATGGATAAAGTAAGAGCTATGAAATTATATCAATCTATCCTACATATGCAAAAAAGGAAAGATTTTCTTAAAGAGGAACCTGAAAACATAAATACTGGAGCAACACAAATCTCAGAGATGTTCAACTCAAATATAAAAATATTGTTGAATATCGCTACTGAGTATTATAAAAAAACCATAGAACTCAAAAATCAAGTTGATGCTATTGCAGCACAACTAAAAGATATAATGTCTGAGACAGATATATCAAAGAGCTCAGAAATGAGTTTTTCAAATCAATACCAAACATGGACAGTTGGGAGCAGCAGCAAACCCAGACGTGACACCATACCAATTGATAAAAAAAGAGATTCAATATCAACCAAAAAAGTTGGGATAAAAAAGATTCCAAAACTATCATTATCATAAATCAAGACCAGGATGATATGATCCATTTAGATCCAAAAGAAGAAGAATATATCAAAATAGTAAGAATCGTTTATGAAATAAAAATAAGTGATTCATATTTCATCTCTCCAAGAAATAATGTTTATCCTAGAGTGACAGTCATGAAAGGAGGAGACTCCTCATTCATAAAGATAATTGCAGACTATGAATTTCTGGATTTGATATATCCAGGAAAAGATTTGATTGAAAATATCAAAATTTAATGAAATTTTCATAAAAGAAGTATCAAAATTTATCAAAGGACAAAGAATATATTTGAAATTTTATTCAATAAGTCCTGAATATGATGGAATTGTTTATTATTCGATTGAACTGTAATTTCAATTGGGTATGTTGCAACCAACTTCCAAATAGATATTATAGAAAATGATAAAAAGACCCCAAAGATGACCAAGTCAAGGATCAGGCATAGAAGAGTACTTGGAATCAAAGCTATATACAATATTGCCAAAAATTTTTATGATAAAAAATTCTCATGTTTATGTTAATATCAAAATTGGATGCTAGTTTCAAATGAAGGAATTGGAAAATAAAAATTTTTGAAAGATTATATTATGAAATTCGACATACATCAATTTCTAGGATGTCCTACCACTATCAATGAATCTTGTCAGCTAAGAGATTGTCCCAACTACATGTAAAGACATAAAGAAAAGAGGACAATAATACAGGGGAAAGATGCTTTTTAGATAAAAAGTTGAAAATGCATGTGAAGATGTAGACCATAGGAGAACAATAATAGAAAGGCATATGCACCTTTTCAAAATTTTGATGTATGCAATGATTTAAATAAATCAATAATAGAGCCTCATAAGTTTGTATAAATAGATGTATTAGGAAAGGATTGGATAGCTTATTTCGGAGTTGGAAATCAATATCCATTCTAAAACTATCTTTTGTTCAAAATTAGTTTTTTTGAAAACCTTTTGTACCAAATAGAAACCTTGTATAAATTTTTATAGAAATAAAATTCCAAAATTTTGATACCAATATGAGTTTTTAAATTTTTATTCTCATAGATTCTTGAAGGATCTAAAGATAATTTCTTTCTTATTTAAGCAAAAAAAGAGTTTTTTTTTTTTTTAATCAAAATCTATAGATTTATTCTTTGAAATTGATACATTGAGAGTAGGAAGCTGAAATAGTAAAAATCCTGTGAAGGCAAGAGGTCGTTAAAGGAAGCAGTTTATATATTCAGAACTCAAAGGTCATTCGATTCTAAGAATAAAGATCCATATCAGAATTAATGTAAGACTATTACTTTTTGCTAAAATTTGAACGAATCTTTTTAAAATCTCAAAAAATCAAAGGGATTAATCGTTTATTTGATGATTATTTGTATGATTAAATGTCAGGATATACTATTAAAGGATGAGATAATTTATTAGAAAAAATGTTAGAAAAAATAAAAAAATATTTTTTCTCAATTAGAAAATATGAATGCATAATATAATATATTAAATAAAAAATATGAACAATATGTTGTAGATTATTCCAATTTATTAGATCATAGAATGTATTTATATTCAAAAATTCAAAAAAATTATAATTTAAAAAGATTGAGATATATTGTGCAATACAGGAAGAATTATTTATCAAGGGTAATAACTAATAATGGCTTTCCAATGACAATAAATAGTAATAGACCAAATAAAAATATCTCCCCTAAATTATTAATCACTCGGAGTCACGAAAACCAAACCCTAATCGAAACTATGGTGTGCATCAGGAAAGCAACAGTAGATGATCTGTTGGCTATGCAAGAATGTAATTTGTTCTGCCTGCCGGAAAATTACCAGATGAAATACTATTTTTACCACATACTCTCCTGGCCGCAGCTTCTCTACGTTGCGGAGGACTACAATGGCAAAATCGTGGGCTATGTTTTGGCCAAAATGGAAGAGGAGAGCTCCGAGTGCCATGGCCACATCACCTCGCTTGCCGTGCTCAGGACGCACAGGAAACTCGGCCTCGCGACTAAGCTCATGACTGCTGCCCAGAATGCCATGGAACAGGTTAAATGGGTTATTTTGATTGCTTCCATTTTACGCATTTTTGGCTTTCCCCATTGGGCCACCCCGAAATTTCTGAAATTATTTTATTTTTTGTTTGTTTTTGTTGTTAGTATTTAGGATTTGCATTTGATTTTTACCTTTTGTGTATCTTAACTCTCTTTGACTGATTATTGAGATGCTATTCTTGCATTTGCCAGTGAAAGGTGGGTTTTTTTTGTTGTTGTATAATTCGACTTGTATACTTTTGGTGTGCATAATCGATTACATCCCCTCACAATTATGTACACCGTTTGTGTACATGTCACCCTTTTTTATTTTGTGTTACCCCGAGCTTCTGGATATCCTGTTTTCTCTTTGGCTGTTTTGTTTCTGCAATGGTCCATTTGTTTTAATTTTTAATTCATTTTTTCTCCCGTTCGTACTGTGGATTTATGGTTATATGTGAATTTGATGCACCCAAGTTTAATATTGTCTTGATGTGTTGAATAGGTTAATTTTGCTGGTTTAGACTCAATTCTTCATTTGTTTATCTGATTATGAGTGTTATTGTATTCAATTTTTCTTGTTGTATAATCTTGTTATTTGTTTATATTAACTGGACTGTGACTGGTTGGGGACTTTGGACCCTTTTGCAAATCCTTGTTTAACGTCCACATGATGTGTGTTCTTGATTCTTGTTGAGCCGTCTATACAATATTGATAATTCAGTGGTCTGCTAATGTAAGAATCAGATGATTCTTTTAGTATGGGTATCTGGAAATATTTGGATGTGCTTGTATAATTTTTAGTGAGGAAACAAACTTTTGATCTTTTCCCAGGGTATGCAGTTGTACAAGTTTTAATAGCATAGGTTGTGTCAAAATGCTTGTATGATTGTTTGTTCATTATGTTACATATTTTGATTTTATATCTGCCTTGAAAAAAGTGAGTTTACATCGTTATTCATTATCAATTTCTTTTCTGCTCAACAAGAAATTTGAGTTCAACGGACTGGAAGTCTTTTTCAAGAAAACTCAGTTATTCAGTTTTTGCTTTCACGAGGATCTATATATAAACTAGGATTCACCTTGGTTGATGTTGGTATTGAACTCTGTCAACTAACACGCCCTTATTTCTTTCTTGAAAAGGTGTATGGTGCGGAGTATGTGTCACTTCACGTAAGGAAAGGCAATAAGGCTGCATTTAATTTGTATACAGAGACATTAGGGTATACAATTCATGACGTGGAAGCGAAATACTATGCAGATGGGGAGGATGCATATGATATGAGGAAGCAATTAAAGGAGAGGAAGCATCATCACCATCACCACCACCATCATCATGGTGGTGCATGTTGTTCCGGGGATTTGAAGCCTGGTGAGAAGGCTGCATCAACAGAAGCCAAAGCAGAGTAATGGTAAAGTATTCAGGATTTGGATTTTATCATGTTACTTATTATATTTACTATATGAAAGAAAGTGTACCAATGAAGTTTCTTTTTTCAGTGGAAGTTCAAATAATCTTGATGGACATATATATTTATGGTAATTTTGTTTTTGAGTTTTGAAACTATCACTTTTTGCTTACTGAAAAATTTAGGTGGGGAATGCTATATTTGGATTTTCGTGTTTAAGCGTTTAGCAATTGGCTATAATAGACATGCTTCTTTCGTTGTGGTTATGCATTTTGAGTTTATTTTACACTTCGAAATAACAATGAAAGGACACGGACTTCGTTCTTAGGTATTCACTATTTTTGGAGTTCATTGCTGCTTCACACAATTAGCCTGAGATGTAAATTTATGACTGGAAATCTTTGTTTATTCAATGAATTGCTAGTCTCGACCAATATTTGACAAGCAATGAATATGGTAGGATTTTGTTATCATTGCCAATGATGTTCAAAGGTAATATGATGTCTTTGATCTTGTTTACTGTTCATGTCTTAAGAGAACTTATAAGATGTCTCTTTATTTTAATGGCAGTTTTTCCCATATCATTTTCTTGAAGTGTACGTGTGGTAGAAGACTAACCCTAATTCACTAATATATACAATGTTGCCTGGAAAAGGGATACCTCTAATCTACATATTCCCAACATTCTCTCTGTTCCTCTTTGATGCCGGGATATACGTTGTAGCTTGGGCCATCCAATTCTTCTGTATTGAAGTGGGCTTTAGAAACTTCTCATAATAAACACAACAAAGTAGCAGTAATTTAACTAAAAGGAAGAGAAACATGTGTGTAACTTACAAAGATGAGAAAGGAGAGAGAATGAAGTCAGTGAAGAGAATGGAAGATACGTGGCTAGAGGTGTAAAATGTGTTAGGTCTCTTGAACCGAGACTGTGTTTAGTCCTATAAGAGTCCGGTTGGAGAGGTGGTCATGTCGGTTTTTAGCCCGTGTTTCGTTTGAGCTGCTCTTTTATGTTTCAATGGTCTTACCATTTTCTAGATTGAGACATCTCTAACTGTGGTGTAGCATTTGTTGAACAAAGAAAATAGAGATGATAAATTGGCTAACATTACAATTCATAATTGAAATAAATTTATTTATAATAACTCTAGATTCATATAAATCAAGATTAATCAAGTCTACTTTGTTATTGGATTTGGGAAAATACTTTGGAGAGGAAAAGTTTCTTAAAATTAAGCATCAATTCAGATTTCTAGCCATCAATACAACACCGAACAGTGTTAGGAATTGGAATTCGAGAATCCAAAGGAGAGTGGCACTTTGATCGCAAAGATGGATTCATTTCAAACAATTTGGAGTCCCAAACATCATCACTGCTTATGCATGACCCAAAAAAAATGCCTAGAATTGAAATAAGTCGCGGCTGAATAACATAATTTTAGAAAATTATGTATGTCTTGACACATTTAGAGCACATGAAACTGTCATATTGTTGCTCCACTTAATCATGAACTGGTTAATATATTTTGAGATACTTTATTGCTAACTTGAGTATTTTATAGGGGATAGTTTGGATACCTAGTTTTGTTTTTCAAGAAATAGAATTTATTGTTGATTCTTGTTAAGGTTATACTTAATTTAGATTTAGGTTGGTATTGATTTTGAAAGTGAAACTAAACCAATCTTCACAAATGCATATTAATCTTATATTTGTTGTTGGTGCAGTGATGAAGTGAACTGAATGACATGCGATCGATTTTAAATTTATTAAGAATTAACGTAGTATGTCATTGTATGAATCAAGTAACACCTCTTTATCTCGCAAAAAATTTAAATGAGAGAAGCTTATAATTGTTATAAATTATATATTAATAAGTGAATGATTATTATATCCTTAGCGCCCCAATTTTCTTTTCTATAATATACGACATTGATTTTCAATAATAGACATACAAGTTTATCGATTTCTATGTTATTATTTACTTTTTCCTCTAATTAACAACATGTTATTAACACGAAGTTCTTGCCAATTGAGTTAACAAAATTTATTCTTCGTTTTGCTAATGAATCTCTAACGAAGTTGAGATGGTAAAACAATATCTATTTTGTTCAAAAAAAGATATGATGTTTTAACCAAGTTTATAAAGAAATTCTTGTTCAAAGAAAATGTTAATATTCTCTTACGTTTGAATTGTATAAAAAAGTGTTAAATGTTATATTGTTACATATATGTCTACTTCCTTAGTACTATATTCTAGAAAATTAATGTATTATAATTCTTGAAGATGTAACGGTCAAAATCAAATACTCCAAAAGAATACTGTGTCCTCTCTCTTGATGTTTGAATCTATATTAAAACAATATCTTGGAGGATTAATACTTTTTAAAAAAAAAAAAAAAAATTGTAATTTTTGAAGAACTACAAAATTTATACGTGTTAATTTTATGTAAAAATATTGTATTATTTATCTTGAAAGGGTGCAAATATTATAAGATAATTTATTTTTTTTAAAGAATATTATATAGTTATTCTTGAATAATCATAATTTTATACACTTTATTTGAATCTTGCATTGATCTTGAAGAATTATAATTTTGATTAAAATGTTCCTAAAGAAATAAAAGTTTTTTTATATCAATAGTCTACAAAAATATTGTCTTGATACTTTGAAATAAACAGAAATTATAAATCAATACTCTTAAATAATATTGTATTGATCTTGAGAACTAATTTTATATAGATCAGTATTTTTGAAAAATATATCAAGGATCCAGAAGAAGCATAACTTGATAATTGATAAAAAATAAAAATAAAAAATCAAACGTTTTAGGTGCAATGATTGCTAAGCCCCTGTTTCGCCCTCGTTACGTGGAAAAATTAATGGGTGGAATAATATTTTTTTGAAAAATGAGTGGTTGAAAATGAAGGAAAAATTTTCGATTTACGTGTAATATTATTTTATGAAAAATTGTGTGATTGAAAATAGAATAAAGAAAAATGAAATGTAATGTAATGAAAATTAATGGGGCTCAAACAGGTGCTAAATGTTTATCATATATTCTATGAATCCTTTAATTTATTATTATTATTTTTTTTTTGAACTAAATTATAGAAGGGAAAATAATATAATGCTATATATTATTTAAACCCCTCAAAAATTTTATTAGTTAATCACTGTATTAAAGTTAATTATGTAAGGGTGCCATGTGAATCGATGATTACATATGAATTCTTCATGAAGGTGTATGTATCTATACATGAATAAGGGGTGAAAATGGTCATTTTATTTTGTGTGTGTAGTATGTGATATTGTTCTGTATCAAAATTCATGGACATGTAAATCTCATGATATTTATTATTTGCTATCTTTCTCAAGTGGCTTTTTATCATGGAAAGATAAAATATTTGGCATGCTATTCTACTAACGATAGTGAGTCCAAATTTCAAATCTTTTAGTAATTAGCTAGTTGGAATAAGGGTTGAACATTTTATTGTTAATGGTTTAGCAAATCATTTAAATGCCTCCAATCAATCGCAAATCATTAATATTGAGCGCAAAAAA